CTTTCTCTTTTTTTACGGTACATGGGTTCTGTTCAATAATTCTTTAATAAATATGATAATTAGGCTGACATTATTTTAAAATAGGTGTTCCATTGACTTCTCCTACACCTTATGAATGCAGAGGTACTTGCGGAGTTGCTACTAATCTTTCTTCATGTGGAGGCGGATGTGGTGGTGGTGGGTGTGGTAAATTCACGTTGACGTATAACAGCACTCACAAGTCCCATTGAAAATGGTAATGTAGTGACAGAATAAGCAAGAATGACGTTCATAATAACTCCAATGCGCACATTCTTAAATAATCGTTGAGTCTTTAAGTTCTTGACTTGGGATTTTATGCATTTGATGATTCTAGTCCAGTTACAATTTTCAGGACTTTCTTTTATCTTTTCTAGAAGGTCCTTCCAAGGAGCACTCGTTAAATCGAATAAATAATCAGAGTCCGAAATAGCCTTATCCTTATTATATTCGCCATTAGCAGTACTAACCAGCGTGCCTCTATTTAATGAATCGTAAAATATTATTATTGATATGCAGTAAATTTAGTTGAAATATTTTATAACAAATACGTACGCAATGTAAGCTTTCTTTCCATCGTTGTACTTTTGAATATCGTCCATAAATTTCTTAGCACTCAAACGTTCTATCGATAATTTAAGGTTACATTTGCTGCATTCTTCAACATGCTTTGGGTTTCTCATTAACTTTACATAATTATTACTAAATATTCATGTTAAAAAATTTTATTTAATGAGATTAAAAATGTGCTTATTAATCATTATACAGTTATATATAACAAACTTACGCAGCTATCATTAATGTCGTAGAGCACCACGGGCAAACTAATTCAAAATCTGAGGTATCATTTGGATCGAGAACCCATGGTTGATTAGTATTCTTTTCCCAAAATTGTTTTGATCGCTCATCAATATGCTCTCCATTATTTTGACTCCAAATATCGTGCTATTAAAACATAAAGATTAGTAACAATAATATTAGATTTTATTTGAAGAATTATGTGCATTTATAGATACTAACTATCTTGGCCAATGGAAAGATATATTCTTGATCAAATAAACGACTAATATCTTCAAAGTATCGCAACGGTGAAAGCAAATGCGCGTGCCAAACTTGGCATACGTCTAGAAAAATTTTTTATAGATCAGAATTTAGCGTTTACATTAACAGTAAACAAAAGTTTAAACCAAAAACTTAGTAAATATATGTAAAATATTAGCACATATTAATGCATATAAAACCTTTAACTGATAAATAAAATACAGTCGATTCTCATAATTAAAAACATGCACACAAAAAAACTTGTAATATTTATAATTAAGATGAATCTAATCAGATGATTTGCATTTAATAACAAGAAAAATTCGTTTATCAATCGAGAATTAACTGTATTTATGATATGCTTGGTTTATAAAACCATGCTTAACATACCAATTGGCGGAATAGGAACATCATCATCGTCTTTAAAAGACTCATTATTTAATAATTTTAACCATAATAAGTATCTTCTCTCAGCACGTAATAAATATCGTTCATCGATTACACTATCCTGTTGTTCTAGAGATTTAAATTTTGCCAACATTGCTAAATGCGAATGTAACATTTTAACGTTAACTACGCCATCAATGTTTACTTGTTCTGCTCTAGTTACTGGTGTAGTTAAATCGGACATTAGCGTTACTTCAGAGGTTACTTTATTTTCATTTGCGTTTGAAGACATTTCATTCTTTGGGAAAGAAGGCTGAGAGAAAGACTTTGAAGGTTCCTGCTCCATATTTTCGTTGTATTCAAACAGAGATGACACTTTAAGTCATACGTATTTATGATTTTGGGAAATTCTGTGGCACCTAATATTGTGCATATATGTGCGTA